GGAATCGAAGATTCCCTGGAGAATTGAACAACAGCAACCATTTACCACCTAAAAAATCTTGCCCCATACTGTTTTGGATACTTAAACTGTTTATTTAAGAAGATCAAAAGGGCGGCAGGTTTCAGGTAAGTTTATTTAAGTTTTCGCGATAAAAAAGAGGAAAATTTAAACAGCAAACTGTCCAAAGGGCTAAGAAGACTAAATATAACGTACACTAATTTGGTTTTTTTTGCGAAGAATTACTGCCTAACAAATATCCAAACAATCCAGATCGAATTCACCGTGTAATTCTCACGTGTCATGCCATAAACAGAAAGTAAGTGATCGTAATACTATTCCCGTTCTTTATGTCCTTTCTCTAGTCTACTAGCTAACTGCGAGAGGGAAATGAATTTTGTATGACTATAATCGAGTTTTTATTAGAAATGACTACTTAACAACACTAACAATACTATACTTATTTTTATATTTTTAAGTTCTCCTCCTTTGCAAAGGTAAACCGGTATGTAAGAGAATACCGTGTGTTTATGTTTACGAAGCAAAAGCGTCAGTGAGTGATAAACTTTCCTCTTATATCTTCTGCCAAATCAGAAATCATATCAAGCAAAAACCAGCGAGCATCTAGCGAGGGCTGATTTCGCTCAATGGGTGGGTCACGTGTACAGTACGTTTTATAGAGACTTGATGAAGATCAAACACGGCTTGAAATTGACAAATTCTCACTGATCTGGAAATTGACGATATCGAAAGTGACTTCCTTCGAGGCTTAAGACGCATTCTAATTCAATTCGACTGATCTATTCCGAATCATATTAGGTACAAAAGGGTGAAAAAGTGCGATTGTCACTGAGGGTTTCTTTATCTAAGAAAGAGCAATTTTTCTTTATTAACTACTATGCCTGGCAGTTGCCGTTAGAGAAAGAAGTAAGGGCAATGAAAAGAGCTCAGAATAGATGAAGCTCTTAATTAAATTGTTTGTTTTTTTTTTTTTGCTGTATAGTTACAGAGAATTTTATGACCTGGGATACTTCCATTTAGATGAGAAAACCGGAAATACCAGATAACTTGGGCTGAGTGCAGTATTTCCACTCTTTTTAGTCTGTAATATTTTGACATACTTTGCCTGCTTCGCAGACGTAATTTACCCGGTTAGTAAGGCGTCTGCGAAGCTACGCCGAAATCCTTGTTCTGGGCCCCAACAGAGTAAACGAATTATCGGATTATGTGTTTCGAATTTCCTTTCAACCTGACTGGAAATTCGGCAATTGCATCTTTAACAGGCCAATCATGGTGCGTGCTCAAATCCTCAGTTAGCCTGCAGTGCAGGCGTTTTCTTCGCGAAAGCGCCATCTTGAGGCTCGAAGAGAGAGGAGAAAACGGGGCTAGTCAAAAGGAGCGGGGTAGCCCTATCACCTACCCTAAGGGTTACTATTTTTACACTCCCTAATCTTTCTCCGTCATAACATCAAAGATGGCGGTTACAACAGTACGAATATTAACAAGCAGCTTTCGCCCGCCCAAAATACGCCTGCACTGCAGGCTAATCCTCAGTGCTACACAGCTGGGGGACTCAGAACAAGGATTTCGGCGCTTTTTCGCAGGCGGACCCAACCAGAGTTTAGTTTCGTGTGTGGTGTAGGCTAGTCGTTTTCCCACCTCGTCAAATGTTATAGTTTTATATGTTCATGCACAAGATTTCCACGCGGATGGTGTGTGTTAATGATAGGCACCCAATCTGGAAAACTGCCCACCTACCCCTCCCTTAAGTCAACATTAACACTTAGTTCTCACTTAGGGCAAAATGTTGGCTTAGGGGAGGGGAAGGTGGGCAGTTTCCCTGAAACATATAATAATCCGAAAATGGGTGACCTGGATGAGATGTGGAGGGCGGAGGTTGTGCGGAATAAACCACATAAGTTGACAGGGTTCCTTTTTATTTTTTCGAAAGGCGCCGAAAAATCATGCTGCCCTCGACCAAGCGGAATTTGGTGCTAGGAGTCTTCCTAGTGATTGTCACTCTCGTAGTACTATACTCATACTGTAATGGCAGCTCTGTTTGCTACACGTTTCCTTTCTTCAGTGGACTGGAACGGGACAGGCTAGTTAAACCGGAAGTAGTGGTAACTTCCGTTATTGTACAAACCAAGCGGCCATTTGATCTAGGAAGATTTTCTGAAAAGTCAAAAGGTATGAACTTGTTTATGTGTAGAAAGCACCCTGTGGTCACAGCAACCTTTCTTCTACCCTTTGGATCTTAAGCCACTGTAAAATGGGTGATAATACGTGAAATTTGTTTTGCAACTGCTGTAAAACGAATTGAGAACTGTGATCTTGCGCTTTTTACCACCAGACTCTTGTTCAAATTTATCTTGCAACAATTCGTGATCAGGTGGTTGTAAGTTGCTAGAATACTGACTTCTGTTTTGATAGAATTACGCGGGAGTCACTCCATACACGGGATTTACGTCTCTTGCTTGGACCAGTAAAATATGTACAGATTTTGTTGCCAAAAGGAGAACTACTTCCTTACTTCCTGCAACAACTTGATTTGTATCAGGACAGGTACGATTCGTCTGTGGTAAAACGCACAACATCGCTATTCCACTAGTTTTGCAACAGTTGTAATATTTGCACTTTCTGTCAAACCGCTTTACCGTACCTTTAGCTGAGAGGGAGCAATGTTGTAGTCATTCTATTATCTCAGATAAATCTTGAACATTCTTTAAATGTGTCCGATTCTAAGATATGTTTTATTTTTATTCATTATTATTGTTGTTATTGCGCTTTTCGTGAAGATGAACTAGACAGAGTTAACTGCACTATCTTTTTTTTACTTGAAAATAAACGGTTATTGAGATTGTTAGTGTCGGCTCTATTGAATTGTGGGAGGGGGAGGAGCGTTCGTAGACGCTGTCAAAAGTAAAGCAGTTCAGTCTGTCTCTTAAGATATTCTTGCTAACAGAAGCGCATCACCAAAACTTTCGCAGGTAAACATGGCGAGTCCAACGTAAAACAAAGTGAGCAGTTCATTGAGGAAATTCATATCAACGACGAGAAAAAGACGAAGAACGTGACAGAGGAAGCGGAGAAGCTTCATTTCGATCACAACAAAACCTTTGTTATCCAAGAGGAAAGAAAAAATAACAAAACACAGGCAAAGACAACTCCTGAACGCCAAAAACACCTCCTTCCACCTTCAGACATTGTGGGAAAGGTAGCGGAAAAAATTCTACGGAAGGCAAACGTTTCAGAAGAGGAAGCCAATAGAGAACTTATTCGAGTGGAGAAAGTCGACGAAATTGTTGACAATGAAAGGCATAGGCAAGAGAATGCTTTGCTAAGAAAAGTGAAGGAGTCGCGGAGGGCGGGCGGGAGTAAAGCTGAGAAAAAACTAGTGCGAGTTGAAAGAGTTGACTTAACTGACGAAGAAGAAGAGGAATATAAATATCAATCAGAAAAAGGAGTTACAGAATCTTATAATACATCTGTTGATAGTGCCGCTTCAAGATCGAGAAGAAAAGAATTCATTACGGAACCAAAATACGAAAATTTGGAATTGGCTCATGCAAGAAGATTAGGGATTTTAAATGCAACAAGCAATATTCCAAGTTTGCTGAGTGAGAAAAACAAAACTAGCAATTTTTCAACTAACTCCACAGCCGCTAATGAGCCTCTTAGCACGCCTCCGCCATTCTTTGCGAATTTCTTGAATATAACCGCAAGAGAAAGAGAAATGTTTGTTCTCCTTCATAACTTCACGAAGGAGAGCAAGCCGCTTGAGCCTCTTGATGGACAAGAGAATAAAATATTTCTTCATGAAAATGGTGCTGAAAAAGAAAACCTCACAGTGATGGGAGACATGAACACATCATCTGCGCATGTACAGAACGTTGATGTTCGGGAGAAAAGGAATCTTGGGGAAGCCAGTCTACTTGATACTCTAGTGGCAAAGCTGCTTAATATATCAAGTGAAAGGCAAACCATTCCAAGAGAACAAAACACGTCTGAAATACCTGACGAATCTTTAAATTTAACTGCTATTCTGGCCAAAATAACTGGTAAAGGTCTTGAGACCAAATACAGAGACACACCGGTTTCAGATAACACTGCGCTCTTGGTCAAATTTCTAAAGGAGGGCAGTCGTTATCGACTACGCATGCCCCATAATGTCACTGCTGGAAAGTTAGACGATGACAGCAGTCAAATTGCTACTAAACTACAAAGCGATAAAAAAGAGTCGAAAGAGTCTTCTTTTGATCTGAAAAATGTTCTTTTAGATTTAACAAAGAAAATAAACTTGAACTTTCGTAGTAATCTCTCTGAAATGACAAAGGACAAAGACCATAAAGCTGATCTTGAGATGTTAAAACTACTGTTACACCGTAGTGACTCGCAAGATCTTGGCACTTTCAACTTGAGCAAAGTGTTAAAAGAAATAGCGAGCAATTCCCTCAAGAACATCTTAGCTGCTCTGCAACCAATTAAAGTCAAGCGTGACAAAGAGGATGATGATCTGGAGACGAGTGGGAACCAGTCTGATGTGGAAATATTTAGACCTACTACAGATGAACTGGAATCTAGTACAAAAGAACATAGCCCTTCGGATGGTAATAAACAACCGTCTTCAACACATGCGTTATTAAACACGACGAGCTCTTCGACAAGTTTTGGCGAGGAATCTAGAAAAAAGGGTCTTTCGTTTATAAGTGGAAGAGGGACGGAAGAATTTGAGAACGAAACATCTGAAAAAAGGTTTGTTTAAATTTTCTTAAAATTCCGCTCTTTTCCGGGGGGAACTCCCATATGAAAGGGGCGGGGTTGCTCTGCGTCTCGCTTAAGGGTGTAAATTTCGGATTTTGGTCTCACTTAGGGTGTTCTGGTCAAAACACCTTAAGGGTCTCTTTTAGGATTGCGCGCGAAGAAATATTAAACAATTATATATTGTCATATTTATTCGATTCATGTAATTAAAGTTTAGAATGGTCTTTTTCGGGGGTCAAAAGAAGGTTGGGCCACGCCTAGATTGGTCTCCTTTAAGGGTTTAACTCAAAATTTCTGACGAGCATCCCCGCCCATTTCATATGGGAGTCCCTCCCCGTGCTCTTTATTGTAGCACGTACATACCACAAAAAATCAAAGAAACTTGTACAGAAAATAAAATATGAACGTTCACATTATACCTCACATATTGATTGAATCACTGCTGCTGAAAGATTGTTTATTCAACACTAAGCCATACAAGTAAGCCATAATGATCGAGTACACTAGTTGACAAAACAAACAAACACAGTTTATTTACGGTCTTTTATAGAACGAAGTTGCAGACCATTTGTTTTAAATTCAAATCTTATTTTTCATTGAAACAAACCTAAGTTGCAAATGTTAAGAAAGCCAACACCATGAGAAAGAGGTAGAAAAAAACAAACTCCAAGGACCAGGTGCGTCGTAAAACCTGTTGATACAAATCCAACGTTAGTACTACAACATCCAACATGAGACCGAACGGAAACGACGATAGAAACAAACTTTTGAGCGACCAAAACTAAAATATTTTTCAGTAGTAAGCCTGCATGTCTTTATTCTCATTACAGTCAAGGGTCAGAGGACAAAAAGAACCAAATTGTTCCATCAAAGCCGAAGAAACAACGCGTGCGATTGAAACGGGCAACAAATGGACTTTTGAAGTTTGACAAAGTCGGTTGTCAGGAACTGGATCCAAAAGTCTTACTGTATAATCGTATTTTCAAGACTGGAAGTTCCACTACTGAATCTATTATTACAAACTCGAGTTCATCCATGAATTATGGCTACAAAATAGGTGAGATTCGTGCAAAGTCACCGGCAGAAAAAGATCGCAAAAAAATTTTCTAATCACGACGCAGCTAATATATCGACAAATAATCAGAGTGAAAACAAACCTAACCTACCGAACTTACGGGCTTTTAACAACTAACCAATCTTCTTACCTAAAGCAAGAAATTAAATTTAAGAGAAACCTAACTGGCACTGATTCATTCATTTACCCACTTTTTCATTCATTCATTTCTTCACTTTTTCATTCATTCATGCATTCATTCATTTCTTCCTTCCTTCCTTCCTTCATTCATTCATTCATTCGTTTGTTTATTCATCCTTCTCTCCCGCTCTCATTCACTTTTCTCTTTTATATACAGACATGCTTTCATGTTTCTTAACAAACCTTTATGACTTGTTTAACCAAAGAATTTCAAACTTATTTTTTTACCAAACATTAACTAACTTACTACAGTGTTACTAAAGATAAACTATAGTACAACAAAATTAATAACAGTATTACCAGAAAGTGGAGTTTTAGGACACTTCGAGCCTAATGGTGAAATAAGGGGATGGAGGAGAGAAAAGGAAAAGAGGACTGAGTCCTTAGTTCTTTGCTGAAGCGACAGAGCGGTGCGAGTCGCACAGCCAAATTTTGTCCTCCCTTTATATAAGTATTGAGGTCAGTATTGGCCTGCGAATACAGCTTACACTCCTCGCTCTTTGCCACTAGGCACTTCTATCGTTTCGTTTCGTCTCGGTTCCCCCCAAACGTTCCTAGCGGCGAGGAGCGAGAAGGGACGGTTGCATTTACAGGCGAAAAAGTATTGAAGGATAATAACAAGTTGTCGCTATGTTAATCTAAGCAACATTTCTTGTTTACAAGGAACGACAGAGGACTGGTACGACAAAGGTGATTCTGGCCCGTATCCTGGACTTATCATAAGAAAAGCCAATAAGAAACTCCTCAAACACCCGCGCATGGCTTTCGTGGCACACTTTTACTTTAGAAGCAACTTAAACTTACCGCAGGCTCACACATATATAAATCAAGTCAGAGACCCTATAAGACGACTGGTGTCCCATTATCATTATATGAGGAGTACAAACAGACCCACGGACAGAATAAAAGAATTTCTTAACTCTGGAGAAAGGAACGAATCTCTTAAGCAGTGCTTTAGACGACAGCACAAAGGATGCAGGAACAACGTAATGACAAGGTTTTTCTGCGGGAGACATTCTTACTGTCTTCGAGGAAACTGGAGGTCTTTGCAGAAGGCAAAGCATAATATAAAACGGTATTACGCGGCAGTGGGTCTATTGGAACACTATGAGGTTTATCTTCAGATTCTTTACAGGCGTTTGCCAAAGTTCTTTCGCGAAGTATCCAGTTATGACATTGGTAAATATAACCCTACTTACAGTTTTGACAATGTTCCTAAAGATCTCATTAGCGAGATCACTAAGGCCAACTGGGCCGATGCAAGGCTTTATTCATTTGTGAAGAAACGCTTCTGGCAACAAGCTAAAGTCTGCGGTTTCAAATAATTAAGCTTTTATTTAATTTTAACAGCTATAGGTACTTGAAGCGATGCAATTTTCCTGTAAATAGTGGCTCTTGATTCTGTGCATAAAACCACTTATTTTGAAAGGTAATTTTTCTCTCCGTACTTGAGTTTTCCTGTATTTGAAGATATGGTACGTAAAATGTCTTATTCAAAATATGATGTCATTATATGAGCCCCCTCCCCTCCCCCCCTTCCGACGATCTCAAATGCTAGTCCTAAGTTGTTCTTATTTAGCATAACTTTCATAAGAAAAGAAAAGGGGTTTGTAGCAAAACAAGATCAACCTCATCCTCACATTCACTTCCATTGTCTTCTTTTGTTCATTTGTAGCTATTTTGCACTAGTTGTTAGTAACTGTTTCATGAGTCAAGTAAAATCGCTTTAACTGTAAAATGGCCTATTCGTCTCATGGTGCGCCTTAATTATCTTATTTACTTTTCTTTAATTTATTACAAGCCTACCGGGCACTATATCTTGTTGTAGACGCATTTATCAGCTAGCTGTTTTCTTACGTCTTCCGTGAGGGTGCAGGGGCCCGTTTCTCGAAAGTCCCGGTAACTTTTCGGGCCCGAAATCAAATATTCAAATCGACATATAAAGAATAAGAGCACGGGTCCTGGCTAGCAAACTACTGCATTTTGTTTCACTAACTGATAGTTCTATCATGCTAGATGCAAAACTTTTGAAACCTCGATCTTTAATATAAACGGAGACGGCTTAACGGGCTTGTTAATTATCGGGACTTTCGAGAAACGGGCCCCAGGAATGGCGCAAAAGGCCATTCAGGTTTCAACGGACTGCACGCGTTCACACTCACCACACACACAAAAAAAAACAAGCGAATAGAGCGCTCTTCATTGAGATAAAGGCGCTAATTACCAACACATCACTGCGTCTGCGTAAGACTGACTTGCATCTTTAGATTGTGAGCAAAGCTTTAGCTCGACAAACCTTGCATTTTCTGACAAACGCAACAATGACAGAAAGGGCCACGTTCTAGCTGATTTCCTGCTACTTAAATTTCATGTTTGCCGTATCAACGCAAGAGGAAAAAAAAGTGAGTATTTACTCCTAAAAATTGTAACTTTTTGTAACACTAGCTATTTCAAATTAAGCACTATTCAAACAGATCGGCCAACGTGTCAGTACAGCTTTATAGGAAAGTTGGATGATTCTGCAGTGGTATTCATTTTAGTTAAACTTTTATCCGACATATTTTTTTACATTTCGTTAGATTTGTTCTCGAGTGAGACGAGCCATGTTGCGCGTTGTCGACGTTCGAACAGCTAAGGAGGACGCGCTGGCGTAGTTTATTCCAAGTTGTCCTAGTTTACGCGGTGTTTTATAACCATTACGAAGACCCTGCTCAGATCTTAACTGGGCCCATAATGTTTAGGAGGCAAACAACATGTTGGGCGGAACACCTGATCGGACTTTAAGCTAATTGAAGGGGGAGCGACTATAAACGATTGTTGGTCCTGTACATGTCTAACTGTCGCGAGAGAATACAGGCGATTGAGAAAATGTATGCAATAGAAATCAAAAACCATAACCCTTTGAGACTCCAGGGCCTTCTAGGAGGTGACCATACAATAAACTTTGAATTGATAACTCTAGAAAATACCATAACATAGCATAATGCTCTTTGTTTGTTGCCCCAAAATTTTGCATAAGCATTGTTTTCAGTTTCTCTTGGGAGTTAAAATGGCCTCAAGAGAAACTGAAAACAATGCTTATGCAAAATTTTGGGGTAACAAACAAAGAGCATTATGCTATGTTATGGTGTTTTCTGGAAGGTCAATTAGCTGGAGCTTGTTTGCAACTGAAGTACCTCTGACGTCACTGCCTGATTGATTAATAGTAAAGCGTTCCCTTCCGCTGGCAACTATTTTTTGTTTTTAAGGGAAATTCTGCGAAAAAAATTGTATCGTTTTCACCACCAGCATTAAACCTTCTTGTCTCGTGGTTGTAAACCAAGAATTGTTCAATTTTTATATAATGAGCGTAGTAGTGGAAAAACACTGCATGCCCAAAGCCTGCTCAGGGTATTCGCCTTCACCAGCTGTACGGCTTAAATATTTCCCCGGTTACCACTTTGACAAACATTGCCTTTATTAACAACGTCGCCTCACTTTGTGAAGAGATTTGTACTTAACATGTGTTCGCAGCTGAAATTGCCGCTAAGAAAATATACAGCCTCCAAACGTTATTACTCTGCATCAGCACAGGGAGCTCTTTGTGATATACGCTGGGGAGCCTTCGAATTTGCAATGCAAATAAGCTTATTAAATGATCATTATTAGAATAGCAGAGGTCATTATTTTTATGACCTCCTTTTGCATTTTTGCCTGTTCCCTCTGGTTCAAAATCAATGGAAAAGTGTATTAAATTGGACAACGCCTTCGTTCCTCGGCCATGTTTAAAATGGTGACCGAGCGCGTAGCATATCCAACACCGCCTTTGAATGGGCCTTCAAGCACCCAGGATACAGTTATCGGCCTTGAATTTGAAAATTTTTCGAGGAAAACGTGTTCCTGTATTTAATACAACCACCTGAAAAACTGTATAAAACCGCCGGAATGAGCACGCTCAGTAAAACAGAGGAGAGAAAAACGCAAAAAAGGAGAAAAGTTGATCAGAAAATTTCAGTGGAAATCTTGTTCCACCACCCACCCTTATGTTTTTTAGCCGAGACGATCTGAACGACTGGGACGATTGATGCCATATAATCGTCTCGTTCGCCTCAAAAACAAGAGGAGAGTGTTGGTTAGCGATGTTTCTGGGTCAGATAATAGAATTTTTGCGCGTGTTTCGTAAACAAAGGTGTCCGCCTTACACAGTAGAGTGTCAATGACTTAAAACAGCAAGCATTCCGCCTTTTAGAGAGTCCAAGCAAATGACTGAAAAATAGCAAGGATCAACTCCAGGTATCCCTTCAAGGGTGGTCTCAGTCTTTAAGGAAGTAAAAAAAACAAATGACTGGAAAGTACCAAGGACCAACTCTACATGTAGGCATTTATTTTAAGGAGATGTCCATTAATATTTGTTGATGATGACCATTATCCTCATAAAACAAAAGGGAAAAAAATCTACACGCAAAATTCAATTAAATGTTCTCTGTAATATTTTATTTTTCTTTAAATAATGATTTTAAGCTACCAGCCTACGTTTACAACTCGACATTCAAGATCTTAAATAAACGCTTTTTTTTTAAAAAAAACTAAATTCCCCGAAATCGGATTTTAGAGACACTCAAGGAAATGAATGACAACCTTTTTGTTAACAAACTTAAACGTCAACAATTATTATTAAAACTGACTATTTTAATATCCCCTGTTGCACAAGTTTACGCAATGGGGAGTTCAGTTAAGCAAAGGGGTTTTACAGCTACGCATGGCAACCGGAAGCGAACCCCATTCCTTTTAATTTGCCATAACGCTTCCAAATTTTCATTGCTAAGTGCATGCCTTTAGTTTATAGTCCGCTACACAGCCGTTTTTAGTGTCGTCACGCAACGCTAGTGGGGAGGAACGTTGCGTGACGATACTAAAAACGGCTGTGTAGCAGACTAGCCTTTAGTCTGATAAAGACGATTTGACCAAAAATTTGGGGAAAATCATTGGCCAAGAATGAAGGCATTTCACTTCCGGTTGACGTTCGTCGCTCAAAAGCGTCCTTGCTTGAGCTCACTATTCACTTTTACCGCTTTTTCACGGCCAACTGCCGTAAATGATCTCATAAACATCCGCGGAGTCTATTTAATTCTAGGGGTCCAAACAGGGGCGTTTAAAAGATAGGGAGCGTTTATTCTCGTATCTGTAAAAAGCTCAAGAAAATTAAATTGCTATCGGCAAAAATATCAAGAGAGTTTAAAAATAGCGGAATGTCCACTCCATCAATTGATATGTCGACGTCTACGCCAAGTACGGTATAGAGATCCATATCGCTCTTTCAAATCCCAACATTGATGTCACAACCCTCGCTCAGGGTTATTGTGTTACCCGCAAGGCCTTGTTAATCAAGCAAGAAACTGTATGAATGGAATGATTTTGCTCGTTTTTGCTCATTCCTAGTATTTTGGAGTGATTTTCATAGGGGGCGCTTATTAGAGAGGGACGCCTAATACAATTTTAACAGCGTAGACGGGGTATTTATTAAATAAGAGGCGTTTATTTGGGAGTGGATGTTTATTTGGTCATTTACAGTAAGTCCGCAAGGGCAACTTTGTTGCAACCGCACATTATCATAGTTATTTGAATTCACATAAATACCCAGCTGACCACGTAAATTCACGCTCAGAGCGCAAAGGAGAATCAAAGCACGTTTTTTTTACTCCGCTACCCTTGCACGAACACAATTTCACAGTCGAAGCCGGACTTCATTAACCAAACAGGTCTTTCAAGTCATTTCCACTATTCGTGGATGATTGATTCGGTGGAGACTGGTACAGATACTGCTGTCCACTCATTCCACCAATTGGTTGCTGTTGTTGCATCGGGAACATCCCGGATGATGACGTCATCATACCACCGCCATATTGTTGCGGGATCATGGGTCTGCTTCCCATCGAACCTAAACGAACCAGAAAAATATTTGGCTGGAGCTTACAAAAAGGTTTTACAATCGTGGAAAAAAAGTGTTCGAATTTTGCACCTCCTTACCCACAGAACGCCTATCCCGCGGATCTGGTACCACTAAGGCCCCTCCCCTAACCCACCCTGGTCAAAGTTGTTTAGTCGGGATCAGAAATGTAGTTGCCAGTGCCTTCAAGAGCTTTATCTTGAAACTAGACTCAACAAAAACGCATATAACCATGTACCTTGATTCATGCCACCGTGCTGCCCTTGTTGCGCTTGCAAAGCGCTCATCGATGGTTTACTCTTGTTTTGTAAATGTCCTAACTCAGGAGCAAACAACGAGTCAAGCGCCGACGATCCACCCGCGTTTTTAGACTGGCTTCCCGCGAATGATCCCGTAGCT